TTCTCGACTCTTAATCCTTGTCTTAATTCAGTCTCCCCCCTCCCCCTCTTGCGCGAAGCGCGGAAGCTTTGACGCTTCATTAAACTATTAAAGAAAGAAGACGATTCATTGTTCAGTTCTCGACTCTTAATCCTCGTCTAGATTCAGGTTCCCCCCTCTCGCGCGAAGCGCGGAAGCTTTTAATTTTCATTAAATCATTAGAGAAAGAAGACGATTCGTTGTACCGTTCTCGAAAATAATCCTCATCGGAATTTAGTTCCCCCTCCATCCCGCGCGAAGCGCGGAAGCTTTTACGTTTCATTAAGCCATTTAAGATTCGTATTACCGTTCTCGCCTCTGAATCCTCGTCTGAATTCAGGTTCCCCCCCTCCCGCGCGAAGCGCGGAAGCTTTGGCGTTTCATAAGATTATGAGAGAAAGAAGATGATTCGTTGTACCGTTCTCGATTTTTAATCCTTGTCTGAATTCAGTCCCCCCCCCCCCCCTCCCCTCCTGCGCGACGCTTTGGCGTTTCATAAGATTATGAGAGAAAGAAGCCGATGCGTTGTACCGTTCTCTATACTGTTAATCCTTGTCTGAATTTCAAAGATGTTCTTTGTCTGCTCCTTTTTCTTCCTACGTCCTCTTCCGATTTGGGGGGACCGCCCCCCCCCCCCCCCCCCCCTGGCTACGCGTCTGCGGTCAGATAACACATTTTGATACCTTGTCTAACCCCGCAAGCGGTCAGATAAGCATTCAGGGGCCCGTCTTAGGGCCCCTGGTGGGGTCGAGGCGGCGGAGCCGGCACTGGAAGCTCAGGGGTTTTAGGCGTTTAATTAAGGTCAGATGAGCATTTTTTTTGTATACCTTATTATTTTGTGACACTGGCAGGTCACTATTTGGCGTGGGGTCCAGGGGGCGGAGCCGCCAAAAATCAGGGGTTTGAGGCATTAAATTACCGTCAGATGATCATCTAAGGGCCCGCCGTAGGGCCCTAGGTGGAATCCAGGGGGCAGAGCCCCCGGAGGCTTAGGGGTTTTAGGCATTAATCACGGTCAGATGGGCGTATTTTGATGCCTCATTATTTTTTAACACTGGCAGTTAACTATTCTTTCATTCTTGCTCTCATTCTATATTATTTCTCTTTAATATACTTTTTCAAAAAAGTGGGGGGGGGGGGGGGGGGGAGCTCGGTGCTAAAAAGTGAGGAAAAATCTCGGAAATTATGTCATATCAGCATTATTTGTAATCCACCGTTGTGGAATTAGAAATAAACCACGTTTGAATTTGATTTCCACCAAGCCCCCCCCCCCATCGGTACGCCAGTATCTCCTCTTTTCCTTTTTTCTTTCCCTTTCCTTCCTTCTCTCTTATTTTTTTGATTGGGGGGGGGGGGGGGGGGGTCAACAGCCTGGGAGGCAAGGCCCTTTCGCCCCCCCCCGATCTCCTTTTCCCCCCTTTTCTTTTCTTCTTCCTCTTCTTTCTTTCCCTTTCTCTCCTCTTTCCCTTTCCCTTCTTTTCCTTTCTTCTCTCTTTTTTTTTTTTTTTTTTTTTTGCGGGGGGGGGGGGGGGGGGGCCAAGGCCCGCTCGCCCCCCCCCCTGGATCCGCGCCTGGCATTCACATCTACAATTGCCACACTCGACCCAGGTACGGTAAATAGGTACCGGTAGATAGAAACTCCTTGAACGCTTTACGCCCTTCCACGTGGTAGCTATAGGCTAGGGCTTGGCTAATCATAATAGTCGACATGCAGAGCTTATTAGGAAGCACGCATACAAAATGCTTAACTATGTGAGACGCGATATACAAACAGAGAACTATTAAACCGATAATTAGTTTGCAAAATTAATGCACACATGTATTATGAAATGGATTCTTAGGGGGAAAATCAAATGCTTTCGGAACTCGGTACAAAAATATAACAAACATTACACGCCAATTAAGGTATCTCCTAATGTATCTCTTTACATTTCCTTGTAACCAATTGAACGTTCCGTATATAAGCAATTATAAAGCAATAAATGTAGGTCTATACTCTCCAATATAATAATATATCTCTCAATAAATGAATTGCATTATGACGGAAAAGATCAGAGCAAGGCTGCGAACTATAACATTCATGCTTGTAAACAAAAGTACAAACCCCTTGTTCACCTTAGTTACGTCCCGTCTGTCTCTCACTCTCTCTCTCTTTCTCTCTCCATCTCTTTCACTCTCTTTCTCTCTCCATCTCTTTTCTCTCTCCATCTCTCTTTCTCTCCATCTCCATCTCTCTTTCTCCACCGCTCTCCTTCTTTCTTTCCATCCCTCTCCCCTCCCTTGTTCCTCTCTTATTTCTATATTTATTTAAGCTAATTTTGATTTCTGGTATTGAAGGCATATATTTTGCTTGTTTAACAATGAACCCACTTGCTGTATTAGTCGGGATGGTTGTAATTTAGTTGTTTTCAAAATACAGTTTCATACCTTTAATGTCCCATCACCTTTAATAGCGGGACATTTCTTATCCCAGTCAACGCATGTTGTGTCTGACTTGTGACCTGTCCATGACCATATCCAGACATAGTTATTTCTATATGTTTGATCACATAAATGAGAGTCATGCTTCTAGTCCATTTGGCGTTATGGGTGTGGTGTGATTAGCGTTTTAGCATGTAATAACCGTCATCAATCTAATCGTACGTTTTAAAAAATCGTAATGGATCTCGGATATGACTAACGTCATACATCTACATACATTGGTCATGTTGGTATCAATATTAAGACCCCCGTTGACCGACTTCAAATCAAAATCTGAATTTCGTGAAGCTTACTTCAACAGATAAACGAAGGTTGCTATCAAGTAAACGTTTGGTAAATGTGCACAATTTCTTTGAACAGATTTGAGACAACAATAGTTGATCGTATGAATTCTGGAATTTCTGGTCATAATAATGCCCCCCCCCAAAAAAAAAAAAAAACTAACAATTTTTTATTAACCTAGGCTAACTGTTATTTAGACATATGAAATTGATAATGATTGGAATTGTTTCTCGTTACTCTACAGACGATTGGGGTAGCGTGATTCCAGCCATTGAGGGGGAACTGGCATCCTTGCATCATAAGAGAACCAATAAAGCCAATCAAAGGAGGGGGGTGGAAGGGGCTCCATCTTCTTTTCAAGCCCCCTCTCCTCCCGTTCCTTCATCTCGTTCCTTTTCTCTTTTACCCCTTTCTTGATCGAGAGAGGGGTGGAGGTGGGGTGACGGTACCATTCCTCCTCGTAGCTACACATACATCACTACCACAGACACAGAGGAGCGGTTCCAAGTTGGGTCTCTCCGAATTCATGTACCTGCACTTCCTGGCATGTTAATTATTGACGATGATGTTCTAATATACTCCTGTGAATCTGAACATATGCTCTTCCTGGCCCGTTCATCGTTTTCATTAATGTTATCCGACTTCTTTGCGTGCAAGCGTGGCCAGTTGTTCTACTGTGGTTTGACGATACCCTTTCTGGCTTTTCCCAGACTATTGTTTTTCTAATATTTTCCTTTTTTTAATCAATAGTGTGAACATTCACTTCCTGGCCTGTTCCAGGCAGTTGTTGTTCCAATCTTCTCCAATTCCCCCTTAAAGTATGAACATGAACATGAACCTGGTGTGAGGTTGTCGATCACTTCCAGGCAACAGTTTCATCACAGGCCAGACAGGGGGACAAATTGGCATTGACACGCCGGCTGGTTTCTTCATGTGTTTGCCAGCGCACCGACTCGGCATGGGCAAATTTGTCGAAGAGCCTTGCCTAACGGGACATCATGAAAACATTATTTCTCTCTATGTCTGCATGCCCCCCCCCCCCCCCCCTCCCCTCTCTCTCCTCTCTCTCTCTCTCTCTCTCTCTCTCTCTCTGCCTCTAGTATTATCTCTCCGTTTTCCCTCCCTTCATCATTCTCTCTATCTCTCCCTTTCTCCGCCTTTCCCTTTCCGTCTCCTAGTATATATGTCTTATTCTTCCATTCTCTCACTTAAAGGTACTATGTCCCATTTGCAGGCCCCCCCCCCCAAAAAAAAGTTAAATTCCAACAGCATTTGAAAAATGATACTAATTTAGAACTTCCCTAAACAAGGCGGGGCTTGAAAAATGTCTTCAAATTGGAAAATAACGATTATTAGTTGTCAACTCGACTTAGGAGCTATAGAGCCAATAAGTAATAGTCTTGATTTCCAGACCATTGTACCGAATGGTCATACGTTTTATGCTGTGCAAAGATTCAATCAGTTTAATTTTGGCCATCACAAGAAGTGGGTTATTGATGTAGACAAATGCTAATGTACCCTTTATACAGCTCATTTTATGTATGTTATTACCAAAGAAGAAGAAAAGCCAGTCAGTCACTCAATAGTGTCTGACAGTGAAGTCTAGCAAGTAAACGGGTTTCCTTGCATAATTTGAATATTAGGACACTGCTAACGTTTAAATTTCACAAATAGGACATACATGATATATTCATAATTCCTGCAAACTTTACAGAATTTGATGTTGGCTGCAAAAGGGACATAGTACCTTTAACTTATAATTCAATGATTATTCAAGGGTAAAATTCATGGCCCTACTCTTAAAGCCTCAGTGCACATACTTTTAAAGGTTATAGCGTATTTATTTTAAGCATCAAGTTCTACATGCATAATGATATGGTAACGGAATAACTGAAATGTACATTCGTTCTAATACCGTAATGCAAAAATGCACGAGTAGAAGACTTTTAAGTAGGCCGATACATACCAATAACATCTCTCAACTATCTCGTATTTTTCCAATCAATCATACTACATCATTGCTGTTGTAAACTTACAATAATCATGAGTTCCATGAACATCTGCATGTAAAGAAGTATGCCTACTGATATCGTGCTTATAACAATAAAAATATACCGTTTATATATTTTACACGAATGTTAAATCCTAGGTTTAATTTTACATGGAAATAGGGCAAAACGTAGAAGTAATTAAAAAATAATTAAAATCATTTTCCATACCTTCCAGAACATGATGTAGGTTCAGATGCCGATGTTCATGAGGATGATAGTTTCTGCAATGAAAATAGAATCCATTATTCTACCAGTTTGACGCAAGTTGAAGTTTATCAACATTTTTCATCACAATTCCTTATACAATTACGGTATAAATATCCGATCATTTTTTCTTCATTTAAATCATTCAAGATTTAGAACGTTCACCCACTAAGAACGTTCATTTCTGAAAACAGTTTGAAGAATATTTTGTAAGAAAAAGTATAATTTCAATCACCAATTCAGCATGTTAAGGATGACCACACTCAAAATGGGTGACGGGAACGAAACAATCGTCCAAAACATTCGGGAAATCATTTAATCCTGCATTTCTCTAACTTCTCGATCACAACATGGATTCCTGAAGCACGTCAAGCAAGTCGCATCGTATAAAGCTAGTAAAATCAGCAGACACATTTTTTTTTACCAGGCAGGCTTCATGGTTCAGAGACCATTCTGTATCCAGTATGATCTTACCGTACACACGTGGTCTAACATCAAAGTCTGTCCAGGAAGATCATTGTTCATCCAATGTCTCATGCGAAGGCCATCTTTACAATCATGTCTTAGAATTGGACCGATCAGCCTATATATTGTCCAATGACGTCATTATCCAGCTAGCCAGTTTGATTATCCCCAGTTGCAATCCTTATTATTCATACCCGAAAGCGGAGCCGACATCGTCATTTGGTAAAAAGAGAATTCATTATTATCCATGCGGGGAATAACATTTCCAAGATCGTACTACATCCTTACAATATCCTTGCAATACATTTGAGCTGTGTCGTTTATCCATGACTCGGCTGCAGGAATGATCTTCACAGCCTTTGAACCCAAGCGATCAACGCATCAAAGCACACAGCGCCTTTATATCCCATTACCTTTTCCCAATTCATTGCAATGACCATAACCGCTACCATAAACATTCCATTTCACACCTAGGCGCCACATTCATTCAGCCAGACACAAAAAGCACGAAAAAGTCGGCAACATTCGTGTGGATTTAGTCACCAGACTTCGCGCTAAATGAGCGGCGGGCTTTCGGTATCGACTCCTCGCCAAAACAAACATCCATCGGCGGTATATCTTTCCTCAATCTTTCCTCAATCGTGCACAAAAATATCTCGTGTTCATGAATGTTTCGCGTTTCCAATTACTTTGAAAATCCGGATAAAAGGTACTCCGATAGCGTCTCCTTCTCATATGGTTTTCCTTTCTTCTTCCTTTCCCCTTTTCATCTCTCTTTTTTGGGGGAAAACAGATAGCCCTCGTCTCGTGGGGCGTAGGTTAGATCATGGTTAGATCATTCGAGTTAGTGATCCCGGGAATGGTTAATTTGCCCTCCCCATGGGTTCCCCGGCATGGAAGCCAGGCGAGGTTGATACTGTTAGCACGAATACTGAATACGGATCATGACAACGTTTGATCATGATAGCACAATTAGAAGTATAAGAATCGAGGTAAAACACACACGCAATCATTAAACAGGGCAAACAATGGTGATGCTGTGGGGCAAATCTATGATTTCTTCCTTTGTAAAAAGAAGGCCCGCCATTTTGAAATTTTGAAAAAAGAAAAACTAAAAGTGGTTAGAATATTTTTTTTTTGAACATGGGAAAGAAATTGCACTTGAAAATGAAGGCGAAGATGATGTGAAAAAAGGTTCTTGTCCAAGGGGGTTTTAATTAATGAGGGAAGAGGCTTAATTAAGCATCCGTACAGAGGTCAAGTTATTTCAGGTATATACAGTGATTAATATACTGACGATATCGCAACCTCACATCGTATAATTAGTTATATATTACAAAACAATGCGCTCGCATAATTACCACTAATAATTTGATCCCCTTTCCCTATATCACATGATGGAGGTGTTACTCCCCCCCCCCCCCGGGGGGGGGGGGGGGGCTCAGATTTGGTTTGGACGGGAGTGTGCCTAAAAGTTGACCGTCACGGTTGAAATACGTTGGACAAAACACACCCTACCACTGATCTTTAAACTAGTAAACAATTTACTTCCTAAGTCATTATGCGAACGCATTTCTCTAAAAGAATACACTTTAATTACGGGCTCCGGAATTCTGATAATAAGCTCACTTTAGAAAAACCCCAAACAAACTTTAAACGAAAGGGATTTATCTATTCAAGTGTTCAATTATTCAACGCCTTATCTGAAAGAATTCGTCTTTTGCCAAATACCTGGCAATTTGAACTGGAGGTAGATGCATTGTACTAGTCTGTCACTCTCATCTTCTTCTTCTTCTATCTCTCTTTTCTCACATTCTCTCATTTGTTTTCTTTTCTCATCCTATCCCATTTTACTTTTCCCCTATGCCTATTGATTCAAATGACACTTTTTATTACACATCTCTGTCTGCTATTTGCGTTTAATATGTTAGCTTCTTACTTAATTTTGGTCTTCCTAATTTATTCATATGAAACTTTTTATATCATATATCTTTATGCTTGTTATTTTTATTTGATGCGCCAGCTTTTTATTTGATTTTGCTTTATATACATGTATGTCATCTTTAAGTAGTTTTTCCTATGTATCTTTATTCAATTTGGAGTCTATATGATCTGTTTTATGCTTTTTACACGGACTTCCTGAAAAGCAGTCTTTTTTAGGCTGACGTGAGTTTTACCGTGAATATATAAATTCAATTCAATTTAATTCAAGCCTCGAAACCCATTACCAATTTTCAAGGGCCATTTTGGCAGAAAAGGGTACAATCTTTTGGGATTTTTCTCGAAATATAGGCCCATTTTTCACAACTGTCGATTTTCTTTGGAAATTTTGGAAAAAAGAGACCCATGTTTAGTAGTATTTGAAAAAAAATGAGACACATGTTTAGGGATTTTGTGTGTAAAAGCAACCCATTAGAGCGGCACATCCCCGTATGTCTTGATATGTAAGTATCCCCCGGGATGTTATCCACTCTCCTCCCAGTTATCTGCCCCTCTCTTTCTCTCTTTGTGTCCCCGTCCCTCCCATCTCCCTTTACATCCTTCTCCCTCTTCTCCCTCTTCCCCCTCTCTCTCCCTTTCTCACATAATAATCATAAAATTCACATCAATTCCAGTCAATTTTTGGAGTCAACTAAATTCTTTGTTCTATATCTCGAAATCCTATATCAAGCTATCCATTATGATGTTACATCCTGTCGCCCAACTGGGAGCATGGACATGAACACAAACACATACTTCCAGGAAACATTATTCATCGCAAACCAAGCAGATGACGTAAAAGTGATTGCAAAAAGGATTTAGTCATCATGGGTTTGTCTATGCCTGAGCTCATTTCTAAGCCGATGACTTTTTACCCTTTGAATGGACTTAAATCCATTTGCAACATTACCAGGCGATTTTCTCTGAAGCCCTTTGCAGCGGCGGTTGGCCGCAAAATGTCCCCCAGCCATGGCCGCAGTTTTAATAATGAGATGGAAACGACTAGACAGCAATTTTCTACCAATATTGCTCTAACCACGCTGTAACCCATGCTCCATCTCGTATATATGATTGTATGGAACTGTTTATACCAAAATGAACCCATTGCGAATGTGAAAGTACATATTATGTTAATACCAAAATGCCAGGAAGGCATGAACCCAAAACCACATGGACTGACAGAGTGATGACAGAAGAGATGATAAGATAAGGATGTTGGAGGGCATTTTGCTGGTTTTTACTATATATAATGATAAACGATGAACGCTTGCAATGCATATTTTTCCTTTTATTAATTTGTTTTTGTTTACTGATTAAGAAATTACCTACAAGTCATTCAAAATGAACCTATATCACTTCGCTATTTTTTAAGAGTTGTCTGTTACTCCTAAATGACAAAATTACACAAATAAAATAAAAAAACAAAGACACAAATGAAAAAAAAACACTACAGAATGAATTCCCATAATTATGTCTGCAAATATGCAAATGTTTGTAGTAGTGTGTCTTTCAATCATCGCCATTTTGCTGGACCGCTACCCCTCCTCTTCCCATCCCCTCCCCATCCCTCTCTCTCTCTCTCTCTCTCTCTCTGTGTCTCTCTCTGTCTCTCTGTGTTCCTCCCTCTTCCCCCAACGCGAGTTTTATTCTCTTGGAAGTTGGAGAAAGGAGGACAAGATTGAAAAATGATATTGTTTGCCGATCGAGGCAAACCTTGGTAGACTTCCTCCCGTCGTGCAGCCTACTTACGTCCACATTTAAAGGTCATAAAGAGGTGAGGTAGTCTCTATTTTTTGATCTCGTAATATTTGTATTGAAATATATTATTATGATAAAGATAATGTTAATATTATCTGTAAAGACTATTATAATCTACATTCAGCAGTGATGCGAAGCCTATTTTGGGGGTAACAAATACCATAAGCAGTGCTACGGTTATGAACGGCTCAATTCTTCACTATTTTCCGGAATAAATATCGTAATAATTATATAATACAACAACAACAGGAATTGGAATTGTAATGGAATGTTAAAGAAATGTCGACGAAATGAAGGCCGAGGAGGAAACCTTGTACGAAATCAAATAATTTCCCAAAGTAGATATCTGTCGAGCTGTTTCAAAAATATTGTTCATCCTTGAGAAAATAGAATAAAGTTGTTTATTATACCAACAGATATCTTCCGGTCATATTGATATTTTCCCCGATTTGACGGAGAGAGAGAGAGAGAGAGAGAGAGACAGAGAAAGAGAGAGTGAGAGAGGGGGAGGGAGAAAGAGAGAGAGAGAGAGAGAGAGAGAGACAGAGAGACAGAGTGAGAGAGAGAGAGAGAGAGAGAGAGAGAGAGAGAGGAGAAAAGATGACAGACAGTCCAGAAAAAAACGAATCACTGAGACGTGACATATTCTCATGTTTTTTTTAAAATCAAACTGATTTAAATCTTCTCCTCAATGTTCATGTTATTTATTTATCCGTGATTGTGTATATCTTCCCTCATTTTGGGAGTGAAAAAAAATGTATGTATATTTCCCCGTCTATCAATCTTCATATTTTCCACCTTTTAATATTATACTTTCAACTTTGTCGTCGTCACACCCACGCACCAAACATTAAACCTCGTTATTGGTATAGACATATCAAAATATGAATCTAACCGTCTGCGGTGGAAAGGATCATTTTTACAAGGCACACATGGTCCACATCATCCCAATCATACGTGATGATATTTGCATGCTTTAAAGGTAAGCTCATGGAAATATTAAATAGAAAGAAAAGGCAGAAAAGTATTTGTTAACAATATTTCTACATCCATTGAAGTTGTATTCCGACGGTACACTAATATTTTTTGAAAATTACAATATGTGATTATAATGGTCTTCTCCGACTTCTCGTAGTGTTGGTGAACTTATATTTTATGATTGTCATGATTGTATGTTGTATGTTATTTTTTTTGAAATTCGGCCTTTGGCGCTAATGAGACTTTCATTGATAAACCATTTAAATCTCAATTTCAATATTTACTAT